ATCCTCTTGCTGATGCAGGCTGGCAGCTCTAATAGAAGTGAATTCTGAGATGGGATTTGTAAAACAAGTGCATAAATACTTTGGAGCTACAGAAATTGGGCAAAAGAGCTGCTTAGTCTGTCCTTTGGCAAACTGAAGATTTGCCTCTAGGTTTGACTCCATGCATACTGTGCTTGGATATCACCCGAAGAAGGGTGCCCCTCAAGAGACAAAATTCACAGATGAATCAATTTAGAGGAAGGGCATCATGGTGATGACAACCGGGCTCATAACAGTCCCATACAGTAGGATGAAAGCACCTTCCCCTGTAACTGGCTGGATCTGTGTCTGCCCATCTTGGCATGTGCCCCATTGGGAGCCTGCAGCCAAACTGAGGAGGATGAAGCAGAAAGGGAATACCAGGCATAAAAGATTGCTCTGGGCTTCCCATCTGGGAAGATATGTTAAGCTTATGTCTGCACTGAATGTCCTATCTTTATTTATCTTACCATAGAAGCGTGCCTGAAAGGCTGATATGGAGAGCTTGTAATGTGCTGAGCCTATGCAAAGGGGAATGCAAAGGGAGAAGATTACAGCACTCTCTTTGCTTTGTGAATTGCTGTCCTTCTGCATAGAGTTGCCAGGACGCCGTGATCCGTAGGAGGCATTGAGATTCAGTACAGGCCAGGCAGTAAAGGAAAAATGTAACTCTCCTGTTTCCTCCTTGCCTTCTCCACCTTGTGGTTGTATTAACAGATGTTTGCCCACAGCTCTGCTTTCTCTGCAGGGAAGATACCAGTTAGCAAGTGACTGTGGAGGCAGTGGTCACTAAAGCTTGAAAAACACCTGTGGCAGCTGTCTCCCAGTGTCATGTTCCACCTGCCCTTACAGCTCCCCCAGCCCCAAACCACTGGGCTTCTGGCTGTCTCTGTCCAGTGTGTGTTTGCAGCCAAGCCCCAGGGACATGGCTGCTGAGCAGAAATCCAGCCCAAGTGCTTCTACCAAAGGTTTCCTGAGTATCAAAACACTGAAGCCCACCATTCTCATCTCAGGGCTCAGTGAAGGTGATTATAATTCATCAGAGCTGCAGTCAGGTCTGTGCTTATTTAAGCAAGTAGCTGTTATCCCTCCACCTGTGATGCCTCCTGGACTTAGCCCCACATCCAGCCCAGCACTGCCTGCACACGGCTCTGTAAGCCCCCCAAGAGCTAGGAAAGATGGGGACACCAAGCCAGGCTCCCCACACCTTCATGCAGCAATGGAAACATGCTGGGACCGCAAAGCAGAATGGCCCCCTGGACCAAGATACAAGATCCTTGGCCAAGGGAGACCACAGCACTGTGTTTCCACCTGGACATTGACATCCCCTTCAGGCAGCCTTGCACAACCCTTGCTGTCGCACACATCAGCCTTGAGCCTCTCAGTTCCCTCCCAAGCCTGGCAATAGCTTGTTTAACTAAAAACCTTCGAGCCGGCTCTGCCAAGAGGAGTGCGGGCGCAGGCTGGGAGCGCTCAGCCTTCGCCCAGCAGAGGCCAGTACACACGCAGTGTTTAGGCAGGATGTGCTCGCAGGAAAGCTGTCTCCCTCCCTGCCTGGCCTTCCCTGCCTGGAAAAGTCTCTCAGCCTCCTGTGAGCCCTCATCTATGTACTGCTTTGAGAGAACTTTTCAGGGAGGAACTATGCAGCGCAATAGAAAGGCACCGATATCCTCCTGGGATAGGACAGGCTGCCACAAGCCCAGCCATCCCCCGGGTTCTCTAGCTGTGTGCTCGGAAGTATCCTCTTCCCTCGGACCTGCCATCACCACGCTGCTCCTGGAGGCTGGGCATGGCCACATAACACACACAACACTTGCGAAATGCCAGATGCTATAGAAATGAAGTTCAAAAGGAATTGGATTGCCGGTAGGAGCAGACCATGGAAAGCAATTGGAGATGATTGCCCTGGCCATGACCCTGCCCTCAGCTCCTCAGTTTAATCTCATTCACAGTTCATTTGTGGACAACAAGGAGGGGCACACCAGAGAATAGGATACGTAGATACCAAAAGTGGTTGCATGAGGAATCTTGAATAGAGGCCAGGAGCCCAGGAAGGGGAAGCAAGAGACAGCACCAAGTACAGAAGTGAAGGAATTTCCTCACAGCCTGAACAATCAGTTTGTGCAGCTCTGCAAATAGCCTCAGGAAAAGATATTTTTCCTAGCCATCCTCTGAAAAGGCTTATGGCCCTGATAGGATTAGTTGTCCCAAGTTGCTTGGGTGATAAGGATGTTGGTCCAGGGAAACCATTCTTCGTAAGAAAGAGAGACTGTCTCCAAGACACCTCACAATCACCAGAAGCAAAGAGAGGTCAAAACCATGCAGATCATCTACTGTGATCAAGTTTTTGAGGGAAGGACTGGAGCAAAGGTAAGTCAGGTTGAAAGATGTCTCCTAGCACCAGCAAACACCCAGTGTTTGGCCAAAACGGCTGAGCACAGCACTGCTTGGAGGCCTTCCAGCTCACAGCCAATCATGCAAAAGAAGGACACCTTAACTGATGATGCCAAGAATATTGTTTAGATTCTGGAGAGGATGTTGTTGCAAACCTATTTCCCAGTCTCACCACTTAATGCTTATTTTCGTTCTGAGTCGCAGTAGTAACTCTGAGACGTTAACAGTGAGTAGTGTATCTATTCTGTGGGCATTATGCAGAACCCCACCCAGCCTGATCTCAAATTTGACAGCTCTGCAGCAAAAGTATTTGCTTCGTGTCTGTGTAGGCATAGGTGACATATACATCAGGGTAAGACTTTCTGTATCTGCAGCTAAAACCAAGCTTAGCATTTTGTAGCTATGAGAAAACACAAAGGTCACAGCAAGGATGGAGATCTCTCATTGTAGGCGACACCATGTTGTCAGTGCAAGCTTTGCTGGGGCTCTGTGGCATCCTCCACTGAGGAGCATTAGGGCCTGCAGTGCCCTCCACAGTAAACCCCAAGCAAAGTAGCAGTAGCCTTTTTCTCTGACTGTAACACAGGAAGCATCAGAGCCCTAAGGAACAGCAAGTGAAAAATCTGGGAGAAAACCCACCAGAAGCTGAAGGAGCAGAAGCAGAGCCTGTAAAAACAAGCTCCTCTAGAGCTCGAATAAGTTGTCTCTTCCAGGCTTAAAGGGACAGATCCCAGAGAAAAGAAATTTGGGAAGGGCCTGTGTAGGCTGGGTGGCTCAAAGCATGGTCTGCGCAAAGAACCAGCAGCTCTGGTTGTTGAACCAATGGATGAAGTGAAGCCTATTAGTGTGAGATCTAGCAGAGAGGGTGGTGCAAGACACATTGAAATTGTTCCTGTAGATGTATTCTGCATGTCCTGCATGCAGAAACCCAGCTGCCTGGCTGGAATAACCACCATCCTTCCCTATGTGTGCAAATCTCCCTCAGGGCAGGGGACAGAGTTGCACAGACAGGTGGGGCCAGTGCAATCACCCATTATCTCAGCACTGCTTTTGTAGAGTGATGACATCAGGCAGCTCTGACCATGATGCTTCCCATGCCGGCACAGAAACTGGAGGCAGGAGGTTCACAAGCCTCTTAACAGACCATGGCAGGAGAAATTGCAGTGCTACCTGCACCCCTCCTGAGGACAGCTTGCTGAGGCATGGCAATATTTGGTTATAATCCTGCTAGTGCAAACCAGAGAGAGAAAATAGGCATAGCATGGCAAATTACAGACTTTACCAACCATTCTTGAGGGCTATGATGATGGGCCAAAACCCATCTGGAAATATGCCAGTTCTCTGTGTCTGAAAGAAGGTTATATACAAATTAGGTCAATTTATCTCATTTAAAAGCCTATATCAGCAGCTCTGCTTGTGGTACTCTGATGAAAAAAATTGCAGCTGATGCTTCTTGAAGATGGCAGCAGTCCTGAGTAACCATTAGCAACAAGACCTGCCCTGGCAAGTGGGCTTCAGCCTTGTGTATAGAGTGGGGCCAATAGGTAGACAGCTGGCTGGTGGGGTGTAAGGTGTAGAGACCATCTGTATGAACTGGCTTGTGTTTCCAGTAGATCAGACCCAGAAGTACTAATCTACTTCTCTCTGACCTTTCAGGTTTCATCTATTTCAATGCATGAGGTAGTGCAGCGGCCTTTTGTGGAGCTGTGACTGGTGGGCAAGGGAAGACAGTGTGGGTTGCAGCTACGTGACTTGGAGCAAGAGTCCTGCTAGGTCCTGCTTCTCCTGTGCATGCCAGGACAGCATCACCACCTCCTTCCATGACACAAATGCTCCTTCCCAGCTGTGCCGCTGGCCAAGCTGAAGGCTCCAGCAGCCCACCAACACCTGCATGTGATCTGACACAATATGGTAGTGCACCTCCAAAAATTCAAGGGGAGCATGTGGAGGCATAGCCACCAGTAGCAGGGAGCTGAGAGGCTCAGCAGGGAAGAGACCTGTGATGCTATGTGGCATGTCAGACTCATTAGATAGGCCCAGCCCTGCAGCAAGGAGAGTCCTGTCCTCCCCAGGGACTCCATCACCCTACAAACCAGTTGCTGACTCTGGACTAGACCCCTGCACACGCAGGGTTGGTTCCTGGACTCCAAGCTCTCCCCTTCTGTTGCCTGTGTCTTCACTGTATGATGCCAGGCCTTACAAGTGACTCAGGTCCTATTTTGGAGACAAAGAGGTAAGCATTTTCAATCTTTATTTTATAAAAATAAACCAGTTTTGCCCTTACACTCTGTGGCCTCCAACCTTCCCCTCCACCAGTGCTCCTGTTCCTCTCCCTGGAGCTCTGGCCATTGCGTGCCACAGCCAGCCGCTCCTATGGAGGCTGCTGGTGCTGCACACTCCTGTAAGTATCTCCAAGCAAGCACCAGAGAAGGGGGTTGGTGCCTGTTTGTGACTGCCTTCTCTTCCCAAGATCCAAGCTGGAAACTGTCCAAAGATGCTTTGTGGTGGCTCTGCCATTTCTGCACAGGGAGCAAATCTTAGGCAAGTACACACTTTAAGAAGGAATGTCCATCTGTCCAATTCCTTCCCTTGGGTGGAAAAGCGAGCCCCAGAAAGTTATCTCTTGCCATCAGTGGAGCTGGCAGGCTGCCATCCTACTGGCTAGCTCAGTGCTGGAAGCGTGGGGAGCTGATGTGGGGCTGGTGAAAGGAGTGTGTGGCGTAAAGCACTTCTGGAGGCGGTGGAGATGTCAGGATGGAGCAGAGGGGTTCATGGGAGCTCAGCATCGAGGTGAAGTGCTTCATCTCCTCTGTCAGCTGCTTGATCTCCCGGCGCAGGGCAGCGTTCTGCCTCTCCAAGTCTTCGCTCTCCTGAGGAGACAAGACCACAGGGGCTTCCTCAGTGTGGGAGCTGCAGGGATGAGCTAGAGACATGGGGGTTTCGGTCCTGCACAGCAGAATTTCCAGAGTGACATATTTCTGGTAAATTGATCAGAGAGCCACTCCTGGGCACACCCTCGTCCCCTGGCCAGACAGGCTAGGTACGGGTGTGATGCTGGCAGCCCCAGCCACGCTCATCGGCCCCAGTTTACGAGAAGTGACTGTGGCTTGCTCCCGCCCAGGCTTTCTCACTCCCTCTCATGCACACGCACATCTCCGGGCGCTTCCCGGGCAGCCCAGCCCCCGGGGGAGAGCGCGCTGAATAACCGCCGTATTTAACCAGAAAACCACCTGTCACAGGAAACCTGTCATTGCCCTGGAAAGAAGAGACTCACTGCTTCCTGCTAGCAGCCGGGGAAACCAGCGGCACGAAGGGGAGGAGGGGGAGATGCTTGAGTCAGAAGAAAAGAGAAACTGAGGCCTCAGAAGAACAGAATTAATACTGTTATTAATGAGAATAACAACAAAGGGGTTAGGAATGATGCTCAGCCTTGTCTCAACGATACTGCAAGTGTTGAAGCCTTTGCTACCTCTGCTGCTGCTGAAGTGCAGCCAGCTCCAGGTTGGAGCATCACAGGCACCAACTGGCCATGAAGCCAGCAGCCTGGGCAGGACCAGAGGAGAGAAGGAGGATGCAGCAGTAGGTTCTGCAAACTCAGCTGAGATAGCTAAAGTGGGACCCGGCACTCTGACGCCCTGGAAAGCTGCACCACCACATTTGTCATTCCTCTTCTCACCCCTCTGCTGCCATGCTGACTTCTGATGGTGCCCACTCTCTGTACACAGGCTGAGACACACCCAGCAGTTACCGCTGCTGTCACAGCAGGAGCTCGCACAGCAAACAGTATCTCTCAGATGCGACCAAATGCTTTGGAAATCATGACAGTTGTCAAACTCAGGAATTGATGGGAATCACCCAGGGGGTGGGAGCCTCCCCATGACTCATTCCCCTCAAAAGACAAGCTACAAAACCCTGGGGCAGATGGAGATACTGGCTCCTTGCATACCACCATAGCTTAAACTGAGCCATGCTTTTCTGGGCAGAAGCAATGTCCCTAATGCAGCATCAACCAAAATTGAAGGGCACAGAGGGAATCAACTCAGGAGCAGTAGGGGGTCACTGTCCACCAGGAATTGAAAAAAAACCTAGTAGAAATTCAGCATCCTTCCTCTACTTGCCTCTCTGCATTTATTTCATCTGCCAGCCAGGATCCAAACTGGGCTTAGCCCCCTTAATCCCATACACATGGGAAGGCAAGGACTGTGTGCTATCAATGCTAGCTGAGCAGTAGTAGTCTCGTAAGCAAGTGATTTGTCATCTGCTCTAAGAAAGACAGTCCAATTCTTCTTGGTGAACAGCTAGGCAGGATTTTCCTGGGGGAAGATCAGAGCCCATATCTACCTCTAGAATTACCTTGGAGAGAGCACTGACCTCAAGGAAAGGGTGTTTCTTCATCCCTCTCAGGTACAGTCACCCAGAGCCATTGCTGCTAATAGATGTAATGTAGTCAGGTTAGAGCCATGTCAGCTCTAGAAGGATCATCAGCTACTGAGAAGAGTGAAATCTCTGTCTTAAACCCAGCTCCAACCATGGACCGATGGCACAATGTAAGGAGGAAAGCTCAGGACTGGATTCTTAAGAAATATTGCCAAAAATGGGAATATGGAGAAATATGAACACTGCTAAGTCAAAGGATGTTTTTTTGAACATGAGCCCAACTACCACTTTTCAAAGGACAGCCAAGCCCAGCACAGGGTTAAAGATGGTCTCTGTCCACTGCAGGCTGTGTGTTCTTCATACTGCCCAGCAGTGGCTCAAAACACATGGGAATGCACTTATCAACATGCAAAATGCAAAGGAGTCCAGCCCCTGTGCTTCGATGCTAACTACATGCTCCTGCTCAAATATACAAAGCCAAAAGTGACCATCCCTCCTGAAAAGCAGACATCTAATTCTTCACACCAGGAAGAGCTGCAGGGGTGCCCATAGTGCTACAGAATAGCATCCTCATATGCTGTTGCACCTCTGCATAAGTGACAGCATGAATCACAAACCTGGGGAGAGCCAGTCTAGGTGAGACTGTGCTTTCAAAGAGCTTATGTGTGAGTCAGGCAACAGAGACTGGGAAAGGAAATCAGTAATGAAAGACTGAGACATAAAGATGGATTCAAATCTAGCTGCAAAGCTACATGCATCAGAGGCAGTCCTGAGCTGTGTGCTCTCATTGCCCTCTCTGACTCCTACATCCTGTTCTGGCCTCACTTCTCCTGTCCTGCCTCTACTGAGCATCTCGGCTCCAAGACCCAGAGGAAAAGCACATTGTCTCCTATGTGAGCCCAGGACATGGAAAGGTGGGAGCACTCACCAAGTGCAGTGTGTCTGCTTTCTGAGTCTGCCTCAGGCGGCTCTTCTGGGCAGCAATGCGATTCTTCTCCCTCCTTTGGACTTTCCTCACGTCATCAGAAGAGTCCTAGGGAAACAAGGCATGGAAATGACTGGGACATTCCCTCCCTGCCCGTCAGCTGCACTGCAGTAGGTGGCAAGGGGACACAGCATCACTGAAGCACAGGACATGGGATACACACCCTCCACAGCAGGATAAAGCCATAGCCCAGAGATGTGTGATGCTTTGGCACCCCCCCTGCCAGGAGGGGCACATTTGATACCACTGGACATGCCAGCACAGCTGAGAAATGACCACTCTCTCTTCACCTACACACAGGCCTGGGATATGGTTTGATGGACCAGAGTAAGCACCTCCCTCTGGAAGAGAGATCATTTGAATTCTTGTACAGAAAACCTTTCCCTTCCCTGTCTCTCTGCAAGGTAATGGCAGTGCAGACATTTCAGCTCCTTGGATAAACCATTTTGCCAGAGATTCAGCCTGTTTTCCTACATTCATCCCTGTAGGTCCCTCCCCTCTTCATCACCCTCCTCCCTCATGCTTTATTTGCTGCAATGTGGCTCCTACTTTGCTTAACTAGACAGGTTCAGAGCTTTTGTTTTTAACCCAGATCTCATTTGCTCCAGCTCTCTGATTTCTGTGCTTGCTCTTTTTGGAAGTCCCTTGGTAGCAATGCCTGCAATGCTGACTGCAACACTTCCAAGCCCCTTGGGCAGAAGAGAATAGAGGTCTCCAGGCTCCAGGTCATGAGCTTCATGCACCAGCCATTCTCTCCCGAGATCTGGTCCTGCTGCTGTCTTCTGACAGTTGAAACTGTCACACAGACTCTTTCATCTTCTATTTTCATATTGCTCTGCCCCTTTTGTGGACTCTTTAACATTCACACCACCACTTCTCCACAAGACTACAAAACTCAGCCACAAAAATTATCTTCCCGGCCCACCAGTCTGTCCACATCCTCTCCCCCTTCCCCCCTGGTATTTTTTTCTTTGAACTTAACCGTTATATCCTTCCTTGCCTTCAATACCCTGAAATTGTCTCAGATACAGCAGCTCCTATGTCCTGCATCAAGTCCAGTCCCTATCCTTTGGAAAACCCTGTGCTTTATCCCCTATTCTACTAGGATGCCTCCCCATCTTTGGTTGCAAGCTGAAAATCATGCGCCCTGATCATCCCCAAGACACCTGAGCAAAGTCTTAGGTACTTGCTGTTGTTGTCAGCCCTAGAGAAATGGCGAACGAGAGATATAACAAAGCTTAGCCAGAAAAGGCAGTGGGAATACCTCAGATTTGTGTCAGTATCTACCAGCAAAAGACTTACCATTAAGACATGTCATGAAACAAAACAAAATCCCTCTGTTAAGCATTACAGATGAAAAACAAACCTCTGAGGCTGAACAGAAAAGAAATCAGACCCAAAGTGGCAGGGCTTTTCTTGATCCTGAGTGCTGTCCACGGAAGTGGGAAGCAGTCAGGATGTCCCTGAGCTGCCCAGGTCCATAGCCAGGAGCACCGACTCTCACGCCAAAGCTTCCAGCCTGCCCAGCATCCATCGCAGGATCCACCATGTTTGGGGGTCCCAGTCCCTCAGCTGACCCTGGCATAGCCCCAGGTAAACAGACCTTCTCTCTGTCCATACCCAGCTCAGTGGCCAGGGCTTCTGCCAGGGCCCTTGGCTAAGCCCTGCATCCCTCTCCCCACAGCCATTCTTAGAAAGCTCTGCTATACTGTGCTGTGAAAATGCCAGTGGTGGTGCCACCCTACCTCCTGCCCAACCATGGCCTACCCCAAAGGACTTTCCAGCTCGGGAGAGCTGCGGAAGGGTCCCTGCTTTACCTGCTTGCTGGGAGGGGGAGACTGGCTGAAGCTGCTGGAATCACTGCTGTCAGAGCTGTGGGGCATGGCTCCTGTCTCTGGCTCCCAGGGTCTCTTCAGCTTCCTTTGTGTTCTTGATGTGCCTGCCCTCTGTCTTGCTTCTCTTCCTCTCCTCTACCCTCCTCTGTCACCCCTGAGATGGTCCTTGGCTTCCCTGCTCTCACTCGTCCCAGAGGCACGCTATCCTCCTGCCCAACACACTGACACTTTCGCTGCCTCTCCTCTCAGAGCCTCTGCACCTTCCCTTTAGGTCTCAGCCTCCTGTGGTTTCTCAGAACGTCGGGGATGTAAGCTGAAAGTCACATGGCCGGAAACTTTAAGGCGAAGAAGAAAAGTTACAGAAGAAGAAAAGTAAAAAAAAAAAAGAAGAAGAAGAAAAAAAGCACATCTGGGAAAAATGAGCTTCAAAATAGCCTGAAAAACCCCCGAAAACCACCTTCAGGCAGTTGAAAAACAACGAGATGGGTTTCCTCTGAGACAAACAGCAGAGATGGAAAGGAAGAAAAGCCCCATCTCTGGCTGTGAAACTTGGACCCTCAAAGGAGGGCAGTGCGGAGGAGGTGTTGCTGGGAGCCCCAGAAATTCCAGGGGCACTGCATGCTGTGCCAGCCCTGCACAGACAGGTCAGTCCAGTTCCGGGCAGCCTCAGCCACCCCAGCTGAGCTGGGGAAATTCCCAGGCAGCCACCCACCTCCCCACAGCCCACCCACACTCTCCTGCCACCCTTGACACCAGTGACGTGGGTCCCGGAGAAGGGATGGGTACCCTCAGCAGGCACCACATAAACACTGCTTGTGCAGATGGCTCAATGGGTACAATGAAGCACCAGTCCCATCTAAGAAGAAAGGCTCAGGATCATAGGACGTTTGGACTGGATTTGGTAGGACTAGTATTTTCTATTAAGCAAAACAATTTAGCACTTTAAAACGTTCATTAATTAGTACATCACCACTGCCCCATAAGGCAAATATCAACCCTGGCATACAAATTAAAGTGCTGTAAACATAAGGATCTATGGATCAGCCCATGCACGTGGCAGCAAGGAGAAGCTGCTTTGCATCCCCTTGTTTGGCCCCTGGTCTGTGCTTTGTGGGACTACTGCCATCCGTGGTACAAGCCTCAGAAGACTGAAGACATACAAGCAGCTTGTAGGACAGCAGTACTTTGGGGTACCCCATGCTACTGGTTCTGGAGGTGATAATGCAGGAGCAGGGAGTGCCAAAGAAGGAGCTGTTTGCTATCTGACCTGCTCACATCACCAAAGGGATGAACTGGGGCCACATGCCAACAGGCTCTCCATCCACATCCACAGAGGCACACGACTTTGGAGCAACTAAGTTCTCACATGTGCTGTAAGGAGCAGATATAAAAACACACATGAACCCATCCACAGTAACCCACTCCTGGGGAAAGCAGCAATTCCCAGATCCCTCCTACTGTTTTTCATTGCATATTGGTGTTTTGGTTGAGTTTCTCCAGCCTCAAGCAGGAGCAGCTAGCAAGTCTCAGCAGCAGGACATTAGCAAGTGCACCTGAGATGCAGTGGTCATTAGGGCAAGAGTATTGGCAGCTCTGCCTTTGCAGCCATACTGCAGCACGGAAAGCATACATGCTGCAGAGCATGTGCTTGGAGCACAGTACAGACTTACACTGTGGAGCCAACACAGGAGCAAACATGGCCAAAAGCAAGGACTGTGTGGGGTTGGCTACAGGCTGGGTGGCTCAGGGAAATTGCTTGGCTTAGCTTCAGTAGCAAAACTGCTTCATTTTGGCCCATTTCCCTCTTTAGAAACACCCTGTGATGCTGGCGCTCTACCCTTGGCCCTATTATCTGAACATTTCACAGCCTTGAGTGTAGCCAACACAGGAGCAAACATGGCCAAAAGCAAGGACTGTGTGGGGTTGGCTACAGGCTGGGTGGCTCAGGGAAATTGCTTGGCTTAGCTTCAGTAGCAAAACTGCTTCATTTTGGCCCATTTCCCTCTTTAGAAACACCCTGTGATGCTGGCGCTCTACCCTTGGCCCTATTATCTGAACATTTCACAGCCTTGAGTGTATTTTTCCTCCTGCTGTAGGGATGAAATGCTAGTATCCACCACACTTTCCAGGTGGCTGCAAGGGTTTGCTTGCTTGGCATGAACCACCCTGAGGGACCCCATCTCCTGGCAGTGCAGCCCTTGTGTAGCAGACAGGGCTCCTCTGGTGCAGCTGGCTCTAGGAGTGGAGTAGTTGAAGGCATCAATGAGATGAGGGACATTGAGTTCAGGCCTCCCAAGACACCAGTTAGCAGCACAACCATGGAAGGATCCATTTGCTCGCTGCATCACTATACTTCCTCTGAACTTTGCAACCCTGTGCAGAACTTCCTTTCCAGGAAGCACATTACTAGATTCCCACTCTCCTGAGGAAACCACATTCCTCTGCTGGCAAGGTCTCAGAGACCATGTGGCCTGTCCTGCTCTGCAGGCTGCTGTTACTCAAGGCAGGATGGAGGCAGCTCCTTCCCCAGTGGAAAATTTCATTGTTCTGTTATTGGGCTAATAAGCTGGATTCCTTCCTTTTGTATCTAGCAAGACCAACATCTGAAGGGAGGCAATCAGGAGGGCAATAGGTGTGTTGGCAGGAGGCAATCAGAGAAGCTGAGTGTCCTGGCAAGAGCTGGATGGTCAGTGCAAAACTGTCCAGAATGTTTCTATGGCAGAGACTATTCTTTGATTCACAGGAGGAAAGTTTTGAGCTGCTCCTTGGTTTGTCCTGAGCTAGGATTTTATTAACAGCTGATGGAGACATCTCAGGAGACAGTGACAGCACAGGAGAGGGTTTGGACACTTGGTCTTGCTAAGTGGAACTAAGAGACCATCCCTTTTCCTGCCTTGCCCGAAAGCAGTCTTTGTCCTCAAGCTGGCTATGATGCTAATGAATTCCTGTCACTTATGAGTGAGTAAGCGTGCTGTGAGACAGTGACTCCTGGCAGGAATATGGGCAGAGCCTCCACAGCACTCCTCTGGGGTGGGCAGAATCCATGTTGTCTCCTTGAAGGCAGTGGCCCATTCCATTCCTCCAGACAGAGATGCAGTTCCCCAACCCAGAGCAGCAGAAACACCATCAGCAGCTCCATCAGCATCTGCTCACAGCTCTGTGGGAGCTGCCCTGGGCACCTGCTGCAGGCACAACATGGGGAGCTGACTTCTGCTGCCCCTCCCCAGGCTCTCCCCTACTCTGAGGGGGAGCCTCAGGAACCAGTCTCCTAATCTCTGTGCTTGATTCAGGTGCCTAAATTTACACTGTGAATAACATCCCATGACTTTCTCTCTAGGATCATTTAGGTTTCTTCATCTTGCTCACAGTAGGTGTGAAATTGCTGCTAGTGGCACTGGATGAACTCACAAGTGTTAGGTTACTACCATACCAGCAGCTTGGTGGAGCAGGGATATTTCCAGAGACTTTTAGGGGAAGGACAAGGCCATCTAGTACTGCATTTGCCCCTTCTGAATAACAGCAGGCACTGCTGACGGGAGTACTGTTCTCCTGGGACAAAGTGGCTGTAGGGACTCTGGAGGCCAGGGCTAATGTGATCTTGAGTGCCAGAGAAATGGTTTGAAAGCAGCAAGATGCAGTTCAGCAAGAACAAATGCAAATGTAAAGCAAAGAAAGATGTGGGTAGAAGATCTGGGGAATAACCTATTGGGGCAGCAGAATAGCAGGGAAATATCTGGGGGTTGCAGAGCATTGAAAACTGAAGCTTTGCCAACAGCACAGAGGTGTCACAAAGGGGCCAGGTATTGGTCTGGGGTGCTGGGGCAAGGCAGAGGAGATAACTGCCCTGTGCTGCCTGTGCAGAGCTGGGTCCCATTCAGAGTCCCAGGGCCAGAAATGGAATAGTACAGAAGAAAACAATACAAAGGATAAATACACAGAAATGTTGCACTAAGAGAAAAGAATGAAGAAGCTGGGTCCATTTAGCCTAGAAAAGAGAAGGTTTGGGGGTGAGCAGCGGGTGGGGAGGAAGGGGCAGTCTTTCATATCTTGTCATGGAAAGGATGGTCAGCTCGTTTCTGTGCAGCTGGAGCAGGGTAAGAAGCAACACGCTCCAACTGCAGCAGGAAAGGTGCAGGTCTGAAGTTCAAAGCAAAGGAAGATCTTGGGATTGGCAGTTCAGGAAAGTTATCCAAGTCCCTTCATACGAAGTGGCTGGGAACAAACCTCTGACAGAAATAGTCCAGCTTGAATCCTGCCTCTGAAGGATGAATTATGTTGAGTTATGTTTCCAGGGTTTAAATAAGGAAAGGTTTAAGGTAAAAACCCAACATGTTAAGATGAGCTCCTCAGAGCCCAGAGCACACATAGGGCATTTCTCAGACTTAACTGCAGCCAGCACCTTTGTCTCCAAAGCCCAGAAAGGTCCCTACATTCCATCTGTGCAACCAGCTTCCTCAGCACAGATGCGTGCTGGAGTTTCCTTGTAAACCTGCTGCTCCAGCCCCCTTGCCTGCTGCAGCCTTACAACAGCAGCCTTCAAAACTGCATCTCACCCCATCCATCTCACTCATCTTGTTTGCACAACCATTCAGTGCATAGTGCTATTTAAAAATCCAGCCTAGAGCAGCTATCAACTTAAGCCTCCTGTAAACCACCGAGATTGCTTCTGCTTCACATGTAGCATTTTATGCAAATAATTTCTTACAATATTTGGACAATTGCAACAATTGTCTTAGCATTCCTTACATGCTGATAAGATGTTAAGCAAATGGTGGTGTTGAACGAAGACCCTGCTCTCTACCAGATGTTTCTGCCATGTCCTGCTCTGTCAGCATGTGGTGGTCCTGTCTGTGATGTGAGCAGCTTCACCAGTCACTGTCACCATGGCTATTTCATCTTGTCTGAGCTGAGTGAGTGTGAAAGTGAGTTGTGCCAGGAGAGCTCAAGCATAGTCCCACCAAATTCATCCCACCTGGCAGAGAGCAAATGCCCATCACACCAACACTTTCATGGATGCAACCTGCCAATGTACAGGAAACAGGTACTTT